ATCAGCAACACAGCCGTGTCTTGTTCACCTAATGCAGTGCATTTCTAGCCAATGTCACGTTCATTGTGTCTATGTCATGGACGTGACATAAGACCGTGAGTCGGGAAACTCTGCAGATATATAGCTGCTACTGTGATTTTGGAGAGGGAAGATATGTGTTTTCGGCCAAAACCTCCCAAGAAGCAATCCAAAGAGAGGGAGAGCGATCTAGGAGGGTTCTTGGAGCTAAACTGGAGGTACCCACCACCAATGGATATGGAAGATCAACCCTAGACATGAAGATTGAAAATCTTGAGTTTTATATTGTATTCTCCTTAACTTAGGTTTTGATGAACCCTAGCTATGTTTAGCTTGACTGAATGATTGTATGAATACTATATCTTGACATTCTTGAGTTCATATCCAAACCATGCATGTTTTGATTTTAAGTTTTCATTGATCAAGATTAGTTGATATTGCTATTGACCTTGAAAGTGAATATCTATTTATGTCAATTAGAGCACCATGGATTGTAAGTAGGGGATCGATAACACAAGGGTGAGTCAATTTTCTGCTATCGGTTCGACCATTCTCGGTCCAACCAGTTTTGGTCCGAATGGTTTGGTTTGGTCCGACTGCTACCTCTCTAGTCCGCTCTATCTAGCCCTCTCTGGCCCAGCAACCCGAAGACTTGATTTTGGATGACACGCCAAAACACAACACCAAACTGCGACCAAGTGTAATCGCAGTCTGGGAATGCAGTAACAGGCAAGTTCAATTATCAACCCGGGGTCTAGATCTACTGCTTACTCCGTGATTATCTATTATCTAGCAAACTAATTCGAGTGATTGTTGTTTAAAGCAAAAGCAGTAAGAAAGCAGGAAATTGTTCGGTTTTCTCAAGCAGGAAAGAGTCACTCGGGAATGAGTCCCCTAGCTCCTTAGTTAGGTTCAATTGTAATTACCCTGGGTTGATTTACTGTTGATTAGACTGCGGAAGATCCTACAGTAGCTTGGAATCTCTTAAGCTGACCAAGCCCTCTCAGTCTAACTACCCGGCAGACGACTAGTCTTCACCGGGATAGAAAGCTGAAGCAATAAGCACAGAACTCCACTACTGGAATTCAATTCCAGTACAAAGCAGTAAACTGGCTAACTCTCGTATAACCAATCTCCTACTATCGAATGAAGAGGCTCTAACAACCTAATCAGATTCTATCTATCTCAGGTTGCAGCAGAAATCGAGAAAAGCTGATCAGACTTCAAACAATTCAATAAACATGCATCATTCGATTAAAATCAAACAGTATAATCATCCCAAGTCATTACAATCAAATCCCTAACACCAGGAACTAGGGTTCTTCATACCCAAGTGAGAGAAGGGTTCTACTCCATAGAGAGAGAGAGAAGGAAACAGTAATCGGATTAGTCATACTCACAATGATGAGGAAAATCTGCTCCGGGATGATGATTTCCACTCCTATGACGATCTCCAAGCTCGATTTGACGAAACCCAGCTCCAAGATAGCTTCTAGGATGTGTTCTTCGTACTTTCTCTCTCTAGGGCTCTGTTTTTGCTCTGAAAATCGATTCCCCCACTTTTGGCTCGAAATTGGCTCAAAAACCAGAGTTCCCGACTCACACGGGCAGGCCACACGGCCGTGTGGCTCACCACTTTGCCCGTGCGAGTCGAAACGCAGTGTACCATTAAGTCGATCTTCAGCCATCTCACACGGCCAGGGTTGCACGGCCGTGTGAATTTCCTGGGATGCCCGTGTTTGGCCTCGGCAAAAATCACACGGCCACAAGTGCAACTTGCACGGCCGTGTGATACCCAGGGTTGCCCGTGCGGCTTCCTTAGAACCTCGCCATACGTCCGATCTTCGTCCAATCGACCCCAAACTCGCTCCCAAGCCTCCATTCACGTATTAGGACCTGAAATATCACAAACAAGCACAACCTAGCGTGAAATCGGCCTAAAACACGAGAATCAACACCTCAAACGGTGTAAGAACAGGGGTAAAAACATGTGTAAATAACGGTCTATCATTGGACCACGTTGTCCTAGCCCCGACATTTTAGTCTTCCCACGTAGCGCAGCTATCTCTTGGGCCGATGGAATTGGTAACAGCCAGTTCCATCTCATGGCCCACTTTCCCCATGGCCCACATGCTCCGAGGTCTCCAGGCATGGGGTTGTGCTTACCCTAGCCGCCATTTCACCTATTTTTGGCGCTACTCCTCCTTCCGTGGTAGTGCTTCCCGTCTACGCCTTGATCGTCTTCTTTCCTCCTACGGCGGCGCTGAGCTCTGCCACCGCCACCCTCGGCATCACGATCGGATCCTTCGTATCGGCACTGCTGCCAAGGAGCCATCTGCCTATGTCCTTCCCGCACCTTAGCGAGGGTCTTTGTCAACACAGCCATAGACCTTTGGACTCTCCACCTCTGCTCGCAGCTCCGCTATGCTGAAGTCCGTTCTCAGCTGCATTGCCATAAGAGTTTGCATTGACACCTTGAAGGCCTCATTTTTCGTCTCATCTGTCACGACCCCCTCCCGCAACTACTCCTCTTGCAACAAGGAGCTCTTTGTCGGGATCTCTCTAGGTGCACCGGTGGTGGCTGTCTTCTTGGCTCCTATTTCCGCCCCAGTTTTCTTCATTGCAGCCTTCTCGGCAGCCTTGTCCGTCGCGGTCTATGACTTGGTTACCTCCATTGGTCATCTTTACTCGTCGCGGTCTAATGCCCCGGGATTCTATCTAGGAATTGACGAAGGAGTGATCAACTAGGAATTGATTCGCCCTTGTGACTGGGGATTGATGGGAGGTTAGATGAGATTTAGAGAAGGAGGGAAGAAGAAGAATGTTGCAACAACAGCTTGGAAGAGAGGGAGAGGGGATTCGGTAGAGAAGGAAAGAGAGGAGGGATTAGGAAAACGGTATTAGGTTTAATCTTTGCTTAGTGGCATAATCCTCACTTACAAAATATTTATATAATCCGACGATTTCCAAATATTACCCTAACTTATTAGTCTCCTCAAAATTCCCCTCAAAGTTCCCAATAGAAACATAAATAATAAGAAACCGACAAAATAGTCTAAATAGTTAAACTGCAGAAATGTGGGTTTCTATCACACCCATTAGAGGGGTCTAAACCATCTAAGCAACCGACTCAAAAGGGTCTTGATTGCTCCAATAGAGATTCAAGGATTAGTCAAAGATCCTCCGCACTATGAATGGAGAATGAATCAAGTTAGAGAATCATCAATCTTTGATCATGCTAGTGGCTAGGGGGATCAATGCCCAAGTGAGCTCCCAACTTGTAATTAGTTAGTGTAGTTGTTGGAGTAGTTTAGTGAGCTTAGTTTCTTAATCTCAAACCTTGTTTCGCTAGTTAACAAACCGAAGCGGAGTAATGGTACACCTAGAGACCCTAGGGTTCATAATTTTATTACTTTACTTCCACTATGCTACACTCGATAGTTGGTTATACTTGGTCTTCGATTGGGAGAGTAGTTTAGAGCGAGTCAAGTTGTTTACTCTAGATCTGTTCTGCTAATAATAAACTGAAGCTGACTGATAGTAAATCTAGAGACTCGTGGATTCGATATTTTATTACTTGTGGCACTATACTGTAGTCCCTTTTATTGGTTACACTTGGCCTTCAATATGAGTGTATTTTGTAGCAACCATCTTCCAAGACCGCCACTGGAGCACTGCACTTCCACCGGTTATTGACGATATGTTGGAGCAAGGGAATCGGCATATTGTCCATGAAAAGCTGAGCATGATGTTAACAATCTAGTCATTATCCTTGCATGGACCATGGTGCTAGCCCGAGCCATCCAGAACAGGAGTAAATATCGAATCAGAAGACCCATGCATAGCAATAACCCCAAATGCCCAACCATTCTCATCTTGCCACAAAGAAGAAAAGAGCAAAATGCAAAGAGAAACGAACCTAAAACGATGTGCCCTCGAAATATAGGGTTGATTGGCCAAGTGATTCACTTGCTTTTGTTGCTCAATACTGAGGTTATGCTGCTCAAAGTAGAGTGAGTTTTGCAGGCCTCTATCAGCCGAGTATTTATAGCCATCCAAGGTTGTCAACCCGCGGGTCGACCCAATTTGACCCTGACCCGGTGAGAAAAATGGGCCGCACGCACCCGTCGGGTCAACCGCTATAAGGTACCGGGTTGGAGGTCAAATTGTTTCATTTTTTTCTTTGATTTGCGAAATGCGCCTATTTTGCGATTTTTCTTTTCGCCTAACTCAATTTTTGAAATCCTAAGTTGAACATTTGAATATTTATGTTATATAAGTGTGTGTGAATTTTCACTATCTGTTGGATCTAAGTACGATATGGTATTTTGGTGTAATATTATATGTTATAACTCATATGTTAGATAAGATTTGATATAATTATGAGGATAAGTACAATATAATGACTCTTTCCATATTTCCGGGCCAAACCGAGCTAAAACGATCGGCCCATTAACCCTTGACCCACTAGTTCGACCGGATCCGGGTCAACCCGCGGGTTGACAACCTTGTAGCCATCCCATCCCATCTCACTCTCACAAATGGGAGACGTAGGAGTGCCCGACTGAGAAATATGATCGCTCCCGTGGGAAAGGATGAAGATAATTTTTTTTTACAAAAGATAATCATATATTTATCAGAAAAAAGATAGTTACATCCTAGAATTTAACTAGACCATAAAGTCAAAGAAACGACTCGCAGTCGGGTACAAAAGAAGAGCCTTCCTAGGCCCTAGCCACCAAATAGGCTACCCTATTACTACGCGGATCTACAAACCGCACACTAAACCCCCATAAGTTTGATAAGCAATGCAGAACTTCGTTAAGATAGGCTCCAAAACGGTTGTCCCTGATATCAGACTGGTTGATTTTTCCCATGGCCAAAACCCTCGGAGGATAATTATCATGCTAACGGTCAGGAGATGGAAATAACTTCTGCAACAACACGTTAATTTACTCCCCAAGTTATGGATGAAAATGGTATTCACACATAAACTCCGATTGAGGAGACAATATGCCTGAATCCGAGCAAATAAATCAAGAATTCGAAGAAATCTCCTAGGATAAGCTCTCCTACAATCTTAGATTTCTTTAAATGAAAATACTATTTTAAAAAATCAAAAGAGAAGAAATACAGATAATTATTGAAGCAAATCATGACCGAACAAGTCTGAAAATAGAACAAGATAAACCAAAACATGTTGGAAGCAATATCTATGCACCACGCCACCACCTCATGCTACTGCTCATCAAACAACAGACATACTACTGCCCATCAAATAACAGCCACCGTCGTAGTCAGGTCAGAAATTGCCAACAATTGTCACAGCAAAAAACAGCAGAGCATCTAGAAAGGTCAGCTCGCAAAGGCAGAACCTGATATACAAATCCCCAACATCATATTTCTCATCATCCCCACCAACAGCTTATTGAACAAAATAATTCGGGGAGGGGTTCAACTGCATCCAATTCGGGGCCCTCAAAAGACCAGCAAGAGAGAAAAAGCCAATCCCGCAATCTTTTCTAGTCTCAAAAAAATTTGAACATATCATCATCATCCTCGGGCAAGGAATCCCCCTTGCCACTGGCTGTCTAAAACACAGATTATTGATTTTCGGAATTATCAGAGGACGGGGGAACACCCAAGATTAAAAGGCTAAGTTGTCATGATGGGATTAAACCCGCCCCCCAAAAATAACAAGGAAAAACAAAAAGGCCACTTCTTCCCTTTGTGTTTTACTATGCATTCTCCTTGGCAATCTTCTCGGCCTTGGCAATCACCTCTTCGATTCCTCCTACCATGTAAAATGACTGTTCTGAGAGGTCGTCGTACTTTCCATCCAACACACCCTGATCACAAACCCAACAAATATTATCAGCCAAACCAGTTGATGATACAAACTGAACACCGCCTTCTCAGAGGCCAAGCAATGGTTTTGATTTCAACAAATGGTGTGGGTTTGAGTACCTGGAAACTGGCGATGCTCTCCTTCAGCTCAACGTACTTGCCAGGGGCACCTGTGAAAACTTCGGCGACATGGAAAGGCTGGCTCAAGAACCTCTGAATTTTACGGGCACGAGCAACCGTTAACTTGTCATCTTCACTTAGCTCATCCATACCCAATATGGCAATAATATCTTGAAGATTCTTGTAGTTCTGGAGAACCTTCTGCACTCCACGAGCAGTTCCGTAGTGATCTTCTCCTAGAATGTGAGGAGAAAGCATACGGGATGTGGAATCCAGAGGATCAACAGCAGGATAGATACCCAGCTCCGAAATCTGCTCTCCGTCAAAGAAATCTCACAATTAGAAATCCCACTAGTAGACAACTACTACTTGAGATAAATGTAAGGTGACACTAATGATTCATAAATCCCACCTGTCGTGACAAAACAGTGGTGGCATCCAAGTGAGCAAAGGTGGTAGCCGGAGCAGGATCTGTCAGATCATCAGCTGGCACATAGATAGCTTGAACGGAAGTAATTGAACCCTTCTTGGTGGTTGTAATACGCTCTTGGAGTCCTCCAAGATCTGTAGCAAGAGTTGGTTGGTACCCCACGGCAGATGGAATACGACCAAGCAAGGCAGACACCTCTGAGTTGGCCTACACGATGACATCAAAGTCCCCCAAAATGAGTAGGTCATCATTTCTGATGCTTTAGCCGGAAAGTCCATCAAACAAGAAACGGAATTGAGTAACTATGCTTCTCACCTGGGTGAATCGGAAAATGTTATCAACAAAGAGAAGCACATCCTGGCCTTCAGCATCACGGAAGTGCTCTGCAACAGTTAGACCAGTGAGACCCACACGGGCACGAGCACCCGGTGGTTCATTCATTTGACCGTACACAAGAGCACATTTGCTGTCAGCCTGCCCAGACAAACAGCATACAAGTTAACCAACACTAGTACATGCAAAAACCTTAATCACAATTAAGCAAGATAGACATACTAACCTGCTTGTCCCCTAGCTTAATGACACCACTCTCAATCATTTCTCTGTACAAGTCATTACCCTCACGGGTACGTTCCCCAACACCAGCAAAAACAGAGAAACCACCTGTTCAAATAATTAATATTAGAGAACTAGATACCAAGCCCATAAAAACACCTAGGTTTCAAGGAGTTTCAAGGAGAACTACCGACCATGGGCCTTGGCAACATTATTGATAAGTTCCATAATCAGCACTGTTTTTCCAACACCAGCCCCACCGAACAGACCAATCTTTCCACCCCTCTGGTATGGTGCGAGGAGATCAACAACCTACAACAGAGGTAAAGCAAAATATGGCATCAATTAGTGTAGTTCGACATCTCTAGAACAGAAGGGGGGTGATATGGTTTAGCTCCATGAGCACAAGCAAAGCAGAACAAAAATAAGAGAGCTTCTAACTTAGTTGTTAACCAGTACCTTGATACCAGTGACAAGAATTTGCTGCTCAGTGGCCTGCTCAACAAAGGATGGAGCTTCCCTATGGATGGGCAGGAAGTGCTCCGTTGCTGATGTGCACAAAATATAACAGTTAATCACTCAACCCCACAATCACCACAAAACAAAGACCAACAGGAGAGAGTTCTTACAGATGTCTCCCTTCTCGTCAATAGGCTCTCCGATAACATTCATAATACGACCAAGAGTAGCCCTGCCTACAGGCACCTGTTTTGAAATGCAAGTAACCAAATCAACTTCGAATATTCAAACGTTGTAACCATTAATTAACCGCAGACATGGAGAATTGACCGACAGAATGAGAGAAATCAGCCAAAACATTGGCTATATCAAGAAAAGCAGGTCATCAAGGCGGAATCCAACAAAAGACACCAGAAGCTAAGAATGGCAGCTTACCGCACGAGGAATGAAAAAGACAAGGGTTGCTCATAAAAACTTTTCATCGACCAAATAAATCACTCGGGTCTGAAAATAACGGAGCATAGAAGAACAAGATCCCAATCTGTAATCCACGTAGACCGAGTTGATTTCCCCCCAATTTCCAGGAACGGAATGAAAATAAGGAATCCCTAGATCTGAAAAACAGGCACTACAAGATCCCTAAACTCCAAATGGGCGTGAAGAGAAAACCCTAGTCCCCAGATATTCTCAACCTAGAAAAATCCAACACCGGCGATCAACGGAATACAGAAAAAAGCGAAGGTTTTATGATCACAGATAGAAATATGTCGGAAAAGACCCAGAAATGGAGTTGGAGAGAGCGACGACTTACAGTGATGGGAGAACCGGTGTTGAGGACACGCTGGCCTCTGACCAAGCCTTCAGTACCATCCATAGCAATGGTCCTGACCATGTTCTCTCCCAAATGCTGGGCCACCTCCAAAACCAGACGGATCGAGTGATCCAACACCTCGAGAGCAGTCAAGATCGGCGGCAGACCCTCAGTGAATCTGACATCGACGACGGCACCAATCACCTGGCACACCTGCCCGATCGCACCTTTCCCGGTGAAATCATCGGTGATTTTACCTACATCCTTTCCGCCGGTCTTCACGGGAGCCGATTGCGCAGGGGCCGCGGCGGCGGCGGAAGTAGCGTACTCGGAGGTGCGGGTGAGAAGGTAGCCATACGGAGATGCGCGGCGGGCGGAGGCTGGGGAGGGGGAGAAAAGTTTAGGATTGGGATTCGACGACGACGCGGAACGACGCGACGCCGATCGGAGAAGCGACGATACGATTCTGCGTGAAGCCATGGACGGGGCTTCAGACCAGAGAGAGAAGAGATGGGAAAAGGGATGGGATATTGGGATGGGCTCTTTTTTTCGCTAGGGTTTGAACAGGGACTGAGCTCTCCACTCGTATATAATTACAGCGGGTCCGCTTCGGGTTGATTATCCGGATCTCCACTTTTTACCGTTTTACTATTTTGTTTCGTGTTTTTCTTTTTTCACTTTTCATTTTCCACTTTTGCCTTGTTCTCTGTTCCGGACTGAAGTGGTATTTGTGTGGCTTGGAATCGGTGAACGAGTCCAGCGAAGATTTGCCATATGACACGGAACCTTTATTGGAATGTTGAGCTGCTCAAACTATAAAAGGAGTCTAAAGTTAATCTTGGCTACAATTAGGTTTTGAGAGAATTAAATAAAGAGATAAGTAAATCAAATAACTATTATTCGGTTCATACCTCTCCTAATAATGTTTGAATCAGGATTTTTACCAAAAAAAAATTTAAGAATGAGGATGTCAAAAAAAAAAATTAAGAATGAGGATGTTAAACGAACAACGAGGAATCCAAATTACATTACTTCTACTCCTATAGAGATTTCTCAGGAGGGCTCTATGACTACGCTACAATCTACTACGTCTCTGCAAAGATCTTTGATAGAGAAGTTCTACGAACTAAAGAAAAACGATAAGTTGTGACTATAGTGTTTGAGATTTGATTTTACCGTCTAGAGCGCCTCGTTGTTTCAGATGTTGATACAAAGTCCTCGTTTCATCGTTGTAGTAATCGTGCGTCTTTGTCTCCCAGATGGTCTCCACTTCCCTAAGTCGTGAACTCCACTCCGCATAGCTCCCACATGGGGGAAAAAAACCTCCCGCCAAGGTGGAAAACTATTGAATAGAATCGTCAGGTGACTTGATAACTAAAACACCGCTAGACCAAGCTAGGTAACTCTCCACCAGCGGTTACCCACCATGATTCATAGAACTGAACACAACAATATCCGAGGCAACACCACTCATAAAATGGTATATCCAAGGACATCGTTTCACCTGATCATCCTAGCTTTCCAATCATGTTATTCTCATCCACGACGTCGTTGTGAACCAATCCACGGTGCGACTAAATGATTTTCATGGGTTTCCGCCACTCACATCATGCATAAAAATCAATGATGTCGCTTGCTTCTACAAAATTACGATGAACCAAATGACATTGCTAGCCCAACGATGTTGTTTGACCTAGAACCTGTTCTCCATTCTGGGCTAGTTGGCTCTAAACCACAACTCAAACTTCATCGTTGTTAAGGGGAGCAACATTGTTTCTTAAGGAAACAACATTGTTTCTTAGGACACGACATTGTTGAACTCGTAAATCCGTGGAACTCATGACATTGTGGACTTCACGGCGCCGATGAACCCACATCCTAGAATCCTCACTCATTAGCAAAACTGATTCGGGCTTAATTACACATGATATCCATACATACATAGTAACCCTAAAACTAGTGTTTGGGGTTTAGAACCCCTAGTACCTTAGAGAACTACTCCGTAAATGAGGAAAGAAGATACATAGAAGAGGTGAAAGAAGACTTGTTGTTGAGGAAGATCTCTCCTCTTCTTCTAGCTCATTCTCCTTCTTCCCTTCTTCTCATTCCTTCAGCTTCTCTCTCTTCTCTTTCTAAAATCAGAAATTCTATCTCAAAATCAGCTCTCTTATGGGGGAAAGGGGTCTTCGTCTGCGATCTTTAACTTGTCTTCACATGCATAGTTCTCGCCATGATCTCTGGCTCCAGGCTGCGATATTCACTTTCTGCCCCATTACTACTAGGGGTGGGCAACCGGTTCGGTAAATACCCAAACCGAAACCGAATTAAACCGAACTAAAATCGAAATAATGCTATTCGGTTCGGAATTCTAAAGGCAAATATGGATATTTCATAAACCAGGGTTCTTTAAACCGAACCGAATTTCCGACCAAAAAGCCGAAATATTATAATTGCAAGCTCCAAATGGTGGATTTATGTTTTTAGTTGTTTTTAGACTTAAATATTTGAAATGTTTTATGATTTATGTGTTGAAAAGTTTGATTTTATCATTGATGATGCATATAATTGAATATTTATGATTTATATTAGGTGAAAATTAATTTAAAAGTGAGAAGATACAAGTAGTCGCACAAATTCGGTTTTGTGTGAAAAATCGAGCCGAATCGAATTATAATTCATTTTGAACCGACCGAACCGAATCATAATCCGGTTCGAATTCGGTTTGAAGTTTGGGAGAATTCGGGGACCCGATATTCACAATTCTGGTTCGGTCGAAACCGAATCAACCGAATGCCCACCCCTATTTGCTAGACTTGTGACTTTATTACTTACCTAATTCGCATGTAATGTCTAAATATTCATCAACAAAAATCTAAATTTAGATAATAAAAATGAAAATTTAGATACTCCGGCCAACGGGCCAGGTCCAAGCCAATGGAGTATGAAACTCAGTGACTAACAGAAATGCTCACTCACCCTTTTTTAACCCGCTACATTACCAAACCCAACCCGACCCGCCACGTCACTAAACCCACTATATCATCTTTCCCAACCCAATCCTTAAACCCAACCAACCTATGAACTAAACCCTATATCCCTCTCTCTCTCCTCTTCGCCCGACCCTCTCTCCATTGTGTACTCCAGTTCCGGCCCATTCAGCTTATTCGCAGGCTGCTAGTCCCCCAAACCCGACCCGATGGACTTCTTCTCCAACTCCTCCGACCAAGATAATCGATTCGCCTTCACAACCCACCACCACGCCACCGTCTTTTCTCATTAGCTCCTCCCCCAAACGACCACGAAGCTCGACTGTATCTGTAGTGATTCCTAATTATCCTAATTAGTTGTTAATTAATTAGTTTAGGGATCGCTTGGTAATTTTCCCTTCTCCGCGTGTATTGGTGAAAGGAGCTAGGGTTAATTCTATATATTTTCAGTTCGGCAGCTGTAGCAAAACCTAAGTTGTGTGAGACTCTGTGATTATAGTTTTCTCCGAGAGCATCGTGCTCTTCGTGGATTAGTCCCGTTCACATTGAACGGGGATACCACGTAAATCCGTGTCTTGTGTTCTTTATTTTCTGCGCATCATAGAATTTTACATGGTATCAGAGTTGGTCAAGTGAAAGGCAATTATGGCTTCGGACGATGAGACGTCGGACAAGACCTCAGCGTCGAAGATGTTTTCGGCCAGTGCTTTGGGAGCGCTACCACCGCATCTCGTGTTGCACCAGTCAGATAATCCGAGTAGTCTGTTTGTGGGGGAGCTTCTCAGCGACGTTAATTATGGTGAATGGATCGTCGACATCACCGACTCCCTTATTGCAAAGAACAAGATGTGTTTTGTTGATGGGTCTCTACCAGAGGCGCAAACTGCAGCCGAAAGGGAAGCTTGGAAGCAGTGAAATGCCATGGTAAAGGGTTGGCTAAAGACTTCCATGACCAAGGAAGTGAGGAGCAGCGTGCGATTTGCAACCACGGCCCGTGAAATCTGGGTCGATTTACAGTCACGTTTCGGGCAAGGCAGCGCGTCTCGTTTGTACGAGCTAAAACGCACGATCAACAGCCTTCAACAAGAGAAGTCTTCTGTTTCGGCGTTTTATACTAAGTTGCGAGGGCACTGGAATGAGATGCAATCCCTCACCCCGTCCCTGGAATGCACGTGTTCAGGCTGTCACTGCGATGTGAAGTTGCGACATCGAGAGGTACGGGAGAGTGAACGTTTGTTTGACTTTCTAATGGGTTTGGATGATCAGTTTTCCACAGTTAAATCCCAAATCCTAGCAATGAAACCGGTACCCAGCATTGCCGAGGCTTATCAAATGGTGATCAATGACGAGCAACAAAGACACATCGCTAGCAGCAGACGACCTCGGACTGAAGCTGCGGTATTTCAATCTCAGGGGGAGCGCCGAGCTGATCGATCCTCCAGCCGTGCCGAACGCGATGAGAACGACAAACCACGTTGCTCGCATTGCAACCGCATCGGCCACGTGAAAGAAACTTGCTACAGACTAATAGGTTTTCCGCCTCGCGGAAATGACAAGGGTGATGGGTCTCGACGCCCACGACCTGATCGCCCACAGCGCTCGGCCCTGCAAGCTGCCCAGGTTGATGCAGGCGAGAGCCCTTTGCTGGGCTTAACGGCGAGTCAATTTGCTCAACTCAAGGCCTTGCTGGGATCGGATTTACAGCAGCCTTCATCTTCGTCCAACGAACCTGCTTCAAACATGGCTGGTACATTTTCTACTTCTTTACCTAAGTCGTCCACTTGGGTTATCGATTCAGGCCGTAATGAACACATCGTTAATCATATTTCTATGTTGGATGCCGAGTTGGATACTTCACCGTCTTTACAGGTGAAAATTCCAAATGGAACGGGAGTTAAGGTTCATAGTATTGGCACTACGCGATTGTCTAAAAATCTGTTATTGCGTCGTGTGCTGCACGTGCCTGCTTTTCAGTGCAACCTTCTCTCAGTTAGTCGTCTTACTTCAGATCTGCCAGTTGCATTGATCTTTTTGCGTAACTTATGTGTGATTTAGGACTTACCATCCAAGAGGCTGATTGGGATGGGTAAGCATGTCGATGGGTTATATTATCTCCATATGCTGGATGGAGATCACCCTATGGCGAATTCAGTTAGACGATCTATGGACATCTCGGAGTTGTGGCATGCGCGACTTGGGCATCCATCGGTGGCGAAGCTGAACTTGATGCAGGAATTACTTGATTGTTCTTTTGTTCACAATAAGGAACCTTGTCGGTCTTGTTTGCGAGCTAAGCAAACTCGGGATCCTTTTTCTTCTAGTAGCATTACTACCACATCGTGTTTTGACTTCATTCATGTGGATATTTGGGGAGGTTATAAAACAGCATCTACTTCAGGGGCATATTATTTCTTGACTATTGTTGATGATTTCAGTAGAGCAGTATGGGTTTTCTTGCTGCCTTATAAATCATATGTTGGTCGACATTTGATGTATTTCTGTAATATGGTGGCCACGCAGTTTGGCGGGCGTGTGAGACGGATACAGGCAGACAACAGGGCTGAATTTTCCAGCAATGTGTTACTCGATTATTATGCAGATAGAGGGATAGTCTTACAGACCTCTTGCACGGATACTCCACAGCAAAACGACGTCGTGGAACGCAAACACAGGCACCTCCTCGATACTGCTCGTGCTTTGCGGTTTCATGCAAACTTGCCTATCCAGTTCTGGGGAGAGTGCATTCTTACTGCAACCTATCTCATCAACAGAATGCCACTGGTGACCATTGCAAATAAGTCTCCGTTTCAGATTCTGTTTAAGAAAAA